CCTGAGTGTAAGCATGTGTTTGTTCTCGTAACTTTGACACTTCCTGGGAGCGGAGGGGGGGTGGAAGGAAGGAATAGAAACAGGAAGGAAAATAGAAAAGCAACGCGTTTGTTGTTAGTCGCACATTAAACGGTGGTCATTTTGCCCAAAGGTGTTAATCTTGCGACATCCTCTGAGTCAATCTTGCTGAGGTGACACAAAAGAAGAACGTGAGGACTGCGCTCTGCACATTTTGTGTGTGTTTGGGAGGGTTTTCGTATTGTACTGACCGTCATCAGGTCTTCACTTCGTCTCATAGTCTCTTTCATCTCTTTAAACTGGAACTGAAGGACAACGTGACTGTCGCATTACACGATATATTATGGATGCACGAGAATTATTGGAGGAAAAAAAATGACGATACTTATGTCGGTCCGACACTGCGAACGAGGCTAATATTTCACCCAATATTGAAAGCCGCATTAAATACACTACCGTACATCCAGTCGAAGTCTGCTTGACACTCAAAACAATATTTTATATAAATATTGACACTTGGAATTAAAAAAAAAAATCACGAGCCCACCGCAGTGCCATTCGCTTGAATGAGAGCCGTAACTGGGGCTCCCTGGGCGGTCACCCGGCTCGACGCCGGGGAATCATATAGACCGATGAGTTTTCCTTTTTCACATTTCATTCTTCGTTGCTGGACAGACTAAATGTGCGGACTTAATCGACATTGGATTACCTCACAAATACAAGAGTTCAAGCTACTTTTCACTGCACTCTCAACATCGCGGTGTATTGTTGTTGGGGTCTGCCCAGGCGCCGGAGATAGCGAAGGCAACGTAAAGAAAAGCGGGCCAGCCGAGCTTCACCGCACTTTCCAACATTCCGGACGAGCTCGTCGACCACCGGGACTTCTATGATTGTTGTCGGGTTGGGTAGGCGGCGGAGTAAAGAAACGTAAAGAAAAGCGAATAAGCCGAGTCGAGCTATGGCTCAGCTAAATGCTAAAAGTGAAGTTGAGTGCTTCAGAAAATGGATCGATGACACCAGAGGTGAGAGTAAGTCACATATGTGCGAATCTCAAGTCTTAACCTTCAAGTCTCAAGCAAGTCCCGAGTTGCCGTGGGGGGGGGAAAAAAAAATCAAGCAAGTTGAGTCATTATTTGATTGAGTGAAGTCATAAGACCTTGCTGAGAAAAAACATGTTGGAGTGACAAGTTTTTTTTTCATTGACCATGCTAAATAATTCCCTTCTCTCTAAAAATGTAATCAACATTTACATCTCTAAAAATCCGCATTGTGGGCCTTGTCAAATGTAATATTGAGTACCGGTATATGCTGAGTCAGCAACAAAATGGACGCAAATGGACTCGGGCTTTAATTTGGACACCCCTGCTTTACTATCGTGGAATGATATTCTGTGCTTCCTGGCAACCGAGTCTTACCTAGCATGCTCTCTCCGCTCCCAGGAGCTTCGTTCGCCAACCGGGAAGCAAAGCTATCGCTGACTTCATCCTCAGCATCGTCCAATCTCGGCCCCCCGTCGGTTGCGACCTCAGGAGAAATGACGTCGCCGTATTTCTGCTTGGAAGATGATCAATAATCAGTAACTTGCACTCTTTCTGGCAGACCTTCCTTAAAGAAAAAAAAGAAATAAACTCTGAAAGAGGCCAAATTGTTCGGTCGTGTCATGTGACATGGCCACACCGTCATGCGACTTCTTTTTCCGTACCTTGACAACATCTCGGAGGCTGAGCACCTCAACTCTCAGCTGGTCGCGCTCGATTTGAATGACGTCAGAGATTTCCCTCTGACGCTCTAAAGCCTGGGGGGGGCGGGGAGGGGGGGGGCCCAGGACGATGAGTTGGTGTAAAGGAGGAAAGTGGTAAGGTCGGGGAAAAGGAGAGAGAGCGGGTTGTTTGTTTTTTTTTTTTTTTTTTTTTAACTTTTATCAATATTTGAGCGTTTGGACACTTCATCACGTCATACCGCAATCTTCATTTCCTTCCACTGCAGAGCCTCCTGCAAGTCAGACACCACCTGAGAGTAAGCATGTGTTTGTTCTCGTAACTTTGACACTTCCTGGGAGCGGAGGGGGGGTGGAAGGAAGGAATAGAAACAGGAAGGAAAATAGAAAAGCAACGCGTTTGTTGTTAGTCGCACATTAAAAGGTGGTCATTTTGCTCCAAGGTGTTAATCCTGCGACATCCTTTGAGTCAATCTTGCTGAGGTGACACAAAAGAAGAATGTGAGGACTGCGCTCTGCACATTTTGTGTGTGTTGGGGAGGGTTTTCGTATTGTACTGACCATCATCAGGTCTTCACTTCGTCTCATAGTCTCTTTCATCTCTTTAAACTGGAACTGAAGGACAACGTGACTGTCGCGCTCACGTTCGTATGCCTGCAAACGCACACGGGTTACATTAGAAATCCCAAGTAATGACATACAAATACTCTGTTACCGTACTAGTAGGAATCTCTTGTACCTGTACTTTACTTGAGCATCATCATCTCTATCTACAGCAGGGTTCCCACATCTTAAGGCAACAAGAGCAACTTGACATTGTTCCCAATGCCCCATGTCACCCAAACGTGTTCCAGCAGCTCAAGAAATCACACGCATCCGCTCTTAAGAAACCTCATTCCCAAAAACCAAATCACTGTTCCTTTGATTCCGATGCCGGGATTTGCACGATGTTCCCACAAGAACGTTTATTTATAAACAATGTTCATTTATTATGAGATAATAATAGTAGCTGAGAGTAGACTAAACCTTTGACAAGTTTTAAGGTCTAAGTTGCGGCACGTGACTTTGATGGAGGTGCACGCAGATGATATGCGAAGATATGTAGCACCTGTGTCGCTCTGCTTGCGGCTCCTCACAAACATACTTTGCATATTTCAATCTACCGCATGAACTCAATCGAACGAAAATCGGGCCACGAGTGTCACAAGAACATTCCATTATGAAGAAGTTACGATGCCAACTTAACAGCCGCGGTCAATGTCAACTTGTTTCTAGTACTGCTGCTATCTTAGTATTGCTACCGTCGCTATTTTTTTTGAAGCCGGATATAACTG